TAAAAATCACAAAATATAATATGGCAGACTTTATATGGGTTTATGAAGAATTCTGTGCCATTGTTATCACTGTTATTAGGAGCACAGCTCGGATGAAGACTGAGAATCAGATCTACATTGCCGATTTGGAATCGTATGCAAGCTTATCATTTCCTTCTATTATGTCTGGCGTGTGTTTCAGATAGTCACATATTGCAAAACAAAAATCGAGTTACACTTTTGCACATGTAACACCCATGCAAGCTTTTTCTCCCCTCAATCTAAAGACCCCTTGGATAGAGCTCGCTATACGAGATTTGTAGCTGATATGAATCTGCAGATAATGGCTGAACTTGACTTTGTGACTTGCCTGAAATTGTTCAAAATTTTCATCCCACTAGTGTTAGAGGCTAAAATTCACACAACTTCACCAAAACTGGACAACAGAAAATTGCCTGGTCTGAACATTCTGGATTTCTCCTTAGACTTTCACATGGTGGTTTTATAATTTGGCATAAACATGTAAGTATAGATCCATCCAGCCTTGTACCAATGGTCTGAGCTACAGCTGGTGATGTAAATATGTGGGGGATATATTACTGGCACACTGTAGGCCCTTTAGTACCAATTGAGCATCATTTAATAACCGGAATCTACCTGAGTGTTGTTGCTCACCGTGTCCATCCCTTTATGACCAAAGTGTGTTATCCTCTTGGACATAATAAGTTCACTCTACTCAAAGGCCTCCACAGTCTCAGGATCTTAATCAAATAGAGCACATCCATGATGTAGTGGAATAGAAGATTCACATTATGGATGTGCAATATGGACCAAAATCCCAGAGGACAGTTTCCAGGGCATCGTTGAATCTGTGCCACAGAGAACTTCTCGAGGCAAAAGACAGAGCAACCCTGGCAAGGTGTACTTAATAAAGTGTCTGACGTACATATACTATAGATATTGGTAAAAGCAGCAGGTCTGGAATATAAATGTGGGAAATCTTTTTTCTTTAGTAGAAGGTTACAAATACGACCTTTTCTGCCATTTTTCTGATTTCATTGCCACAGCAATTTACAAACACACTGCTTACATTTCGATTTAATAGCAAATGACACTTAAGAACCAAAGTATAAGAAACAACACAGACACAGGGTATTAAATTGCACCAAAAACATGTTTTATTCTATAAAAGAAGAAGAAAGGGAGGGGGAAATAATCACAACTGTACAGGGAGAAACTGACTTTTAAACACCATGAGTCACAGTATCAAAAAGCTCACGTTTTCCTCACTGATCTTTACACATTTGTTCTGTACAAATACAAAAAAGAAAAATATTATTAATAATTGTATTATTATAATGATAACTGCATTGCACTGAGTAAATATAGTACTGGCCCATAAGTTACTGCATTCAATAGAAAATACCTAAAAGTTCCAGATTTGCAGAAGATGTGATTCGTGGTGAGTCGAGGCACTCGCGCACAGACGTGACGTCACCCTCAGACACGAACTCGATCCCGTTACGGTTTCAGCAGGGATAAAACTCTGTCTTTATGGTTCTTTTTTTCACAATCCTGCTTTTATACAAGAACAGAAAGGGGAGGAAACGGGGAAGAAGAGGAATACTGAGGAAAAACAAGCTTGCACAAACCAACAAGAAGCAGGAGATAAATGTACACATGCATCAGTCTCCCTGCCAAAGCTCCGACACCAGCGAAAATATCCTGCCCAGGGTGTCGTCAACAGGCTCGGATGTTTAACCGACCATCGTCGGTGTGTCTCCAGAGGTTTCAGTGCGTGTGTGAGTTTGTCTCGGTGTGCAAATATACCAACTGAGCTGATCAGTGTGCTTGTAAAGCAAAAGGGCCAATAGCAGATACTAAATGACACAGAGCACATGTGCTCTGTGGGGTTAACATTCCCAGAAATAAAGGGGTTTAGCATTCAGGGGTACTTTTTAATGCATTAATCTTTGGGACTTCTGCCTCTGTTACGATATATTTGAGATATGTGAGAGGGAAGGTTTCATTCGTGGTGCTAAAAGGAGACAAGAAGCTGTATTTGGAGGTCTTGAGATTTCGCTGGATTTCTACTAAACGTTCATTCATTCCTGACCTCGTCCACTAATTAGTCATAAAGATGACATTTAAACGATAAACGAGGTCAGTGCCGAGCAGTTAGTGTGTGTGGTCGAGGAAAGATCAACGATTCCATTCACATACAACAAAAAAATCGAAAGCAATCTCCGAAACAGACACGAGGCCGATGGAGAGATAAAACTGAATGTGCTGGAAAAACCAGAACCCCATTTCCTGTTAGCACCACAAAGAAACGTCCACGCACCTCAACTGTAACGACGTGGAGCCAGGAAGCCCCAGAAACAGATAAGGTATACGACATCTGGTCCCATAACAAGTGAATCAGTGGCTCTGTGTTTTGTTTTTGTACTTCAATTAGGTATCTTTAAAAGAACCTTTTAGTTAGTGCAGCACTTGACTGATCTAACATGAATAATGTTTTTGCTGCTTGGATTTCAACATCGATTTTAAAAAGGAGAAACATATCAACACATTTAAACTGGCTACTGTAAATCTGGGGACTTCCTCTTACTTCCTGTTAACTTATCTGAGCAGAACACACCTGAAGCTGAAGGAGGAAAAAATGGGTCTGACCCAAACCAACTGAATCTCACATTTAACTTGACATTTAAAACCAGGTCCAGTACTGGGACATTAAGCTCGGTTGTTATAATGAATCCCTAGTTAGTTGAGTAGGGGGTCGTTTCCCACCCCCACCCCTGCTGGGGCATCTCAACGGTCTCACACGCACTTGACATGCTCACCAACGTCACTATAAGAAAACAAGAAGGCTACTCTCCATGCAACACAAATGTGCACAACACAAGTGGGACCATATAATTGTTCTTTTTTTAAGAAACTACGAAACAAATGTATTAGATTGAAAAAAGAAAATACACGTGATGAAAAACACATTTCATCAAACCAACAGAGGAAGAAGAGAGAAAAAAAAAGATTTTTCACATTATCTAGTCAGTGTTAAAAATAGAAATTCACCCGTTACATTTACTCTGCACTTTGATTATATACATTTATGTACACGGATTTCTCTTAATTATTTGTCATTGTCCTTAATGTCTTTATCAACAGTTTACAAAAGAAAGAAAATTGCAATCAAATGCATATACTCTCCTAGAAAGATGTGCTTAGTAACTTCTTTTTTTGTTTTTTTACTTGAAGCAGGGGATGTTAAGAGAAATGGGAACATTGCATTGCTCTGCGCTGCAAAAACATAACAAATAAACCACTAAAATCCTTCCAAGCGAGTGACTGAATTCTAAGTAATGCTTCCCCTGATGGGAAATGGAAAGACGGGAACAGATTCCCTCATTTTTAAACCATATTCAGTGACTCGGCTAAGACGGATTCTCTTCGGTTTCGCAGCGCGGAGACCACGCAACAAATCTGCCCTCTTCACGGCATGCGCTCAGCTCACAGCAAGCCTGCATGTCCATCTCATTTATCGCAATGTGAAAAGTCAAGATGTAAAACATTTTGCTCTCACTTACTAGCTTCTGAAATGATGACAAAGACGACTGTAAATGGTGAGAACGAATTCAAAGCAAAATGTGTGTAGCCGTTTTTTATTGGGGGGGGGGGGGGGGTTTGTTGCTTGAAAAGAGACAAGCCAGGATGAGAAAAGCCTGCTCCGTCCATCACAACCCCAGCTCCCCACTCGCTCATTACCAAGTCTGTTTGAAATTATGGATGTGTTTCCACACCTTAAGTCTTATATACCAACACAGAGTAGTGATCAACAGCGCAGGCCTCTACACAAACCTGACCTTCCTCTTAAGGTTCCTGCAACAACCCTACGTGAGCTGCTTATCAGGAACCCAACTACCAGCTAGTGCTCTAGGACTGAGATCAGAACAGCGCTTGGAGCTGCGTCTGCGTTATGTTGCATAATCAAGTTCAGCCCAGATCGGGAGCTGAAAACCAGCCCACTTAAGACATGGACACTGTGGGTAAGGAACCAGGGTGAGGCGGGGGTCGATTCTGCTCCAAAAGAACCCAATTCGAGACACGATTCATCTGTTAGTATCTACTCGAGGCTTTTAACTGAGATTCTATTGCCATTAAAAACAAACCGGAGTGAATTGACCCCCACCCTGGTAGAAATGCTAGTGAGGAGAGCGCTTAAGTTTCCCCGTGGTTTAAACCCCAGGCGCCTGGACCCCGACAGCCCTACGAGACGCCCGATTTCTCCCAGAACCACCGACAGACGACCTTCACCACTCCGTTATCAGTCTTCTTGCTCTCATAACGATGCAAGGTTACAAAACCATTTAATTATATTTAAAAAGAACAGTCTTGAAAGAGTCTGATGAGCAAAAGCTGGAAATTCTCAAACCATCTGATTTGTTAAAACTTTGAAATGCTTTAGGTTCAACTCACTTTGGTGACACTGTTAAAATAAATGTTAAAATTTCTATTTTAAAAGGCTTGAAAATCAGCAAGCATGTTTTTTTCAGCCAAAAAAACTTTTCTCACCAAATACGGAAAAATTCCACACATAACACCTTCAATTTAAACTTCAAAAACGAAACAACTGAACTAAAGCGAACGCTGTGGCCAGTCGTCGTCTGTCGGCGGTTCTAGTTTTGCCCTTACAGATTGACTTCGGTTATTAAGGCTCGACGGGCAAGAGGTAAAAGAACAACAAGTGCCCGGAACAACGCACTCATAAAAATCTTAAATTCTTGATTATGTGTTTGTCTCAAAACATGCACACTAACTCACGGACACGCACACACGCACACTCAGAAAAGCTCCCCTATTCCCTGCATGAGAGTTTTACTTGTATTCTCAATCTATTTGTGTCCTTTCCTCTGTCTTTTTCACAGCCTCAGAAAACAACGACAAAAAAAAAAGATCTGAAAGTTTTTTTTCTTTTTAAATAAAAAACAAAAGAACAACATTTTGTTTAGAACACCAAAAAAGAAAAGAAAAAATGTAGACAGGACTAAAGGCCTTTTTTTGTGTTTTTCTGATAAAACAACAGCGACGACGGCGCAAACAAAGCAAATACTGTTATTCAAGAGGAATCGGAAAGGTGTGTGCGGCGGGGGAGGGGGCGGGGGGCGATAACAACCACGTGATCGATAGATCAATACAATGAAAACAAATGAAGTTTTATTAAATTCACAGTCTTGTAGCTCCCTGTACCGGGGGAGGTGGCGGGGGTTTAGGGCAGAAGGAGGCGAATGGCGATGGGAGGGTGGGGCGCAGTGTTTTAGCCTCAGACATGCTGATGCATCTGACGTCACTTCAGCTGCTGTCAATGAAATAAGCGCACACACACACACACACACACACACACACACACACACACACACACA